ATACTTCCACCTACAGCTTTTAAAAACAAATCATAGTATTAGTATCGAATAAGTTATAAAATCAATACATTATCATACATTGTACGTAACCCACTATGAGAAACAGATATCAGTTTTATGTACCATTATTTAGTGGTTGTACTCCAATATTACGGCATTCACCAGCATTATTTAAAAACATGTTTCCAAACTGAAAGACACCACTTGGACGTAGTAACTGGGATTCTTGAGACAATTGAAATTTTTTAAGATCACCTGAAATACATTCAATATAAGTATGATGTCATTACAATTTTTTAAATATTCAAATACAAAAAACCTGAAGTCAACGGTTTAGCTATCTTAAAATTTGTTTGGCCTATTCGATTCAAAAGATCTGTATTGATCAACGATTTGGGACCTTTAGGAGCTGTATTTTCACTGTTTATTTCTGGCTTCACTGATAAATTACTTATTATTTTAGGAGCTGATTTATTAGATTGCTGTAAGACTTTTATTTTGTCCTGACTGTAAGGTTTGAGCTGATGTTTTCTAGCTTTCATGACTGAAATGACAATTCAATAAAAAATAATATAAGTATAAATGAAAATCTTTTTGTACTGTCTTATAATATATGTGCAGATGTTTGTAGATGGAATTATAGGTTATATTTACCTGATTTCTTTGAGTCGCTGAGAGGTTTCTCTGACAGTCTTGATATCACAGATTCTGGCATATTTAAAAGAAAACCTGCATCACTTAAAGACATACTTGATATGATGGATGAATCTCAAAAGTATCTGCAAAAGAATGTCATATAAAAGTTGTTTGCTTAAATTTATTAATTATATGTAATTGTTGATGATCTCAGACTTAGTAAAATAGAAAATAATATGAATATAGCAGATACAGTTTACGTTAAAGTTTTCAAACTATAAGTATATTTTTGAAATTTTGTACTAATAGTTGAGTTAAGTATATGTAAAATTGGATAAATATAAAAGTGATTTTGAAAAAACATGCGGAATGCCTTTTTTTTTAATCTTTTCAACGGGATGTTCTTCAAGAGTGACACCCGGTCGTGAAATCCCGCATGGAATCCCGTACTGGATCTCATATGGGATCCCATCAGGGATCTTACATGGGATCCCATATAAGATCCCATGCGGGGATTTGATAGGATTTCCCAGGTGGAATCCCATATGGGATTCCAAAAAACTGTTTGCTAATGCAATCCCACACGGGATCCCACATGGGATTCTAAAAATATAAGTTTACTAATGGAATCCGACACAGGATCCCACATAGGATTCCAAAAAAACTACTTAACGCCGAGAAATCCCACACGAAATCCTATATAGGATTATCGAAAAATATGCCTATAGAAATATATACATGATATATTTCTTGGAATTTTAATATAAAACGCGATACTTATTTCAGAATACAATCCTGACAGTTTTAATGCTTGTTTGCTGAAACATTTCTAATGAGAGCGATAATATATTAAAAATGATTTTAACTATTTTCAAAAGCAAATATAGTATTTTTATTTTGAAAAAATTTACACATTATTATTACAATGTGTGCTTTTCAATTTTTTAATATATACATGTTATCACCATAATCACAGCAATTTTAGTAGGTATGTATGTACATATAACATAAATTATAAAAGATTTACAAGTTTTTCTTAACGTAAAGTTGCTATTTTGTTCATTATTTACAAAAAAGAATTCTAAGATTTAAAAATTTAACATATTTGGTACAGGGCTGATGTATTGTCCCTTTTTAGTTTCTACAAAAACGCATATTTTTTTAATCTTTTCTGTTTTTGTTGCTTTAACTTCTGTCGAAATTAATTCTATTTTATGTACAAAAGGGCATATAGTGAGAGGAATTACTTGTATCGTTTTATACAAAGTTATTTCTTTCTTTGAAGTTGGATCAACCAAAAACGAGACAATCTCAATAAACGTATTATTCTCTAACTGTGCATAATGGTTTGCTGAACGTTCGTTTTGAATTTCGTTTGAAGTAAACAAACAGTTGCTTTTAACTATTCGGGAATATTTCAAAGCACTATCGGAATTCAATTCCAATTGAATACAAATATTATCTGGAACATTGTTGCCTTCGCCTAAATATGTTATAATAGATATTTTGAAACCATTTAGTAATGAAGTGTTGTTTACATCGTCACAAAAATTTTTTACGATTTCGGAGCAGTCTTTATATATGTGGTTATATAAAATACGTGTGTATCGACGAAGGTTTATGTATCGGACAATTTGTTGATTAACACCGTTTGCTGAATGAATCGCTTGAAGAAGATCACGATTGGCTGCTTCGAAAGCGTACGCTGAGTGCGCCCACAAAGGACCCCAATCGACTGCACTAGTTACAAGGTGAAAAAGTTGGTGGAGATTAAATGTCATAGCTTTTAATAGAAACCATTTTTGAGTTAGTAAACAGAATTTCAAAACTAAGCTGAATGCTTTTCTAATGTCAGTAATCATGATATCGTCTTGATTTAGAATATGATTGACTTCAACAAGCATACCCCAGTATTCTAATTTTTCTTCACTCAAAACTAATGTAAATACTGGAATGCTAAAGTGTAACACAAAGTTATCCCACTCGCGTATCTTAAAATGATCTCTATCATCAAGTGACCTTGCCAATCTACCTAATTTTGCAGGAACTTTAATTTTTTCAATCACTAAATTTATTTGGCACAATTGCTTGTCGGTCAACGTGCTTATCAGTAGGTTCGTGATTTGTTCAGCTACTCCACCACAGCAGTGCATTGGATCAGGTACAAATCCGTCAACAATATCGAAGTTTATTAAATTCAACAACTTAGATCCATATAAAACTCCGTGTTCATTTTCTTCATCTTCGTTTACCATAGCCTCCAAATGTCGAATCATATCTTCTTTAGTTCTTTTTTCTGGAGCAGGTATAATCACAGGGTATCTCATACTGCCAGAGTCATGTACACCTGGATGCAGACACCAATTACATCCACAATGACCATTAAATTGTTTAAGCCCTTGCATTGGTGCTCGAGCCACTGCGTCTACACAAGAACATATACAATATAATTTAAAAATATGTTTATGGCCTTTTATCATACATTCGATTCCGTCAATTGAATATTTATTGATAGCAGCAACAAATGGATCTAAATAACTCGTCATTTCAGGCTTTTCCTTGCCAAAGTACATCCCGCAAACAATCAAGTTATTTAATCTTGATTGTGGAGGGATTTCATTTATTTTTAAGTAAATGGGCCAAATAGATTTTTGAGAGCTTTCAAATTTATTTGCCCCATCCGTGTTGAAAACTGCGGTTAAGTAGTTATACTTTTCGGATGCAGGCAATCTTTGAACAAAGTTTCTGTAACATTTTCCATCATATATGTCTTTTATATGACCTCTTTCATGGACTCTTTCACGTACGACGTAATTGTAATAATCTATATGATGGTTCAATAAATCTTCGATAGCATCGGATGGATTTATAGTTACGAAAAAGCTGTCGCATGAAGGTGTCGATAAATCTATCTTTTCTCCGCAACTTTCGCACGGGACAGACAATTCTAAGTCTGTCAATTTGCCGATATATATTTTACAGTTCGGGCACATGGCGTGAAATTCAGCGTTATTCTGAGGATTAAATAATTTGTCTAGCATATATTTAGTTTCAAACATGATTGGATGCTTAAATATGTTATTAACTAATCGTAATATACTTGTCAGTTCTAAAACAGATGTCTTATTATGTACTGCATGATTAAGGACCATCAATAGTATTTCACCAACTGATGTATCCGTAGGTACTACAACTCTTTCTATAAGTTTTTCATTGCTCAGTAGATTACCGAAATTTTTCGGATAAATAAGGCTGTCGTTCAAAGTAATTCAAAGTAATTATAATAAAATTGATTGGTAATTACAAAATTAATTCTTTTAAAAATCATGTTATTTAGCTCGTCTTGTTTTTTGATCGTTTGCTTTTCGATTTCCTTCGAGCATCTTGAATAGCATATCCAATTCTTATTTTATATATTTTTTTCCAAGAAGCTTTCAATGCACCAGTTGAATCAATTACGTCACATTGTCTCATAAGAAGAACTGCAATGAAGAAAAAATGTAAATAAACAGTGTGGGTAACAATTAGCAAAATAGTATTTTTTTAAATTACTTTTTATAGTTCTTAACTCTCGACGAGTCAGTTCTTCTCTTTTTTGTCTGTTGATAATTACTGTTGTCAGCGGTTCATTGATGCATTTTTTTGCCAATTCAGATTTTGTGTAAAAGCGTTTCAGTAGAAACCTTAAATATTTTGATGCGCCCCTTCTTCCTGCCATTTCCCACATAGTTCGGCTATAATTTTTATCGAGCCCAATGTAAACCTAGAACCACATTAAATTCCATATTGTTTGAAACTGATAAAAAAACGTGAAAATTCAATCAAGGGGACCACACAATGTCCAACACGAACCATTCAAATTTTTTTTCTTAGCGTATAAAAATCATTCCAATGTAGATATCGTCCTCATACTTTTTTCACGTTGAAGTCCTCGGTGTGAGCTTTCATTTTCTTTTCCATAAGTCTTAAAATCTTAATTAAAGGTTTCAGGAAGTTCCCTTAAGCGTAACGTCTTTTTTTTTAATCCCAGCGCGATACACGATTCCGAAGTTTAAGTGATTAGAAATCATTTTGGGAAGTCTCATTTTCGAGTACAAATGTTAACGAAAAAAATGAGATGTCGCAAAATTATTTCTGATCACTCTAACTTTGAAATCGCGTATCGCGCTGGGATTTTTCAAAGAATAAGACGTTACGCTTAAGGGAACTTCCTAAAACCTTTAATTAAGATTTTAGGACTTATGGAAAAGAAAATAAAAGCTCACACTGAGGACTTTAACGTGAAAAAAGTTTGAGAACGATATCTACATTACAATGATTTTTATACGCTAATAAAAAAAAATTTGAATGGTTCGTGTTGGACATTATGTGATCTTGATTAAAGCTCTTATTTTTACCATATTAGTTCCGACAGGCTCTCCTAATCGTTTCAATTCTGCAGATAGATCAGTATCGTCTGGACCATCAGAATCAACCTCATCATCATCGGCGAAAACGATTTCTTCACGAGTTTCTGAAAAATTAATTAACCATCACTACAGGCGATACAGAATTAAGAGCTTGTTGTAAATTGAAAAGATTTCAGCTTTTATTATACTCTACCTTCTACGTTTACATTTTTTTTCTTTTTCTTTTCTTTTTCTGTCAATTCACTTCGCAAAGAGTCAACTTGACTTTGCATCACTTCGAACGCCTCCTTCACTTCATTTCTCAAATTTTCAGGCAGTTTACTTAACATTTCTTCAATGTTGACTGTTGGTTCCATATCGATGACGAGTGATGATTTCGAACTTGACCGCGAGCGGGATGTGGATGGTGATCGATGGTGAGATGGCGACCGATGCTGAGATCGCGATCGATAGCGAGACGGCGATCGATGGTGAGATCGTGATCGATGTGACGATCGATGACGTGATCGCGATCGATGAGACGATCGATGACGAGATGGTGATCGATGTCGAGATTGTGATCGATGTCGAGATGGTGATCGGTGACGAGATTGTGATCGATGTCGAGATGGTGATCGATGGCGAGATGACGATCGATGACGAGATAGTGATTTTTTTCTATCTGGTGGCCTTAATGGGTATGCCTCTTTGGATGGCATTGACGTATTTGGCAATAAAGAAGGTGTCGATGATGGGTTTTCTGAATAGTTTGGTGAATATGGCAACGATAGCGAGGTAGACGGCGATCTCGATTTCGAACGGCCATAACATAAGCGCGTTGATTTGTTCATAGGTACACGCGAATCATCGAAAGTTGAGAGTGGTTTTTCAAAATATCTTGTTTGCTCGACTTCGTCGTCATCTGAATATAAAACACGGGGTCTTTTCCGCGTGAAATTTGACATGGATTGTGATGTAGATGTTTTGAATACATCCTGAGATTCAGAATACTCATGTATGGTAATACTTGGGATCAAGGCTCTTGGCGAAACATACCCTGGATCAGAAGGCACATCATCTTTATCAGGTATCAAATCCTGAATGACTTTGATATAATATTTGTTCGCTTCTTCCAATGTCTTTGCTGTGGACAACTTTCTACCATTGGCGATACTTTTTTTTTTTACATTCTGAAATAAATTTCATCGTTTTATATTGAACTTGACTTTGAAATCGTGCATGAAAACCAAACTAAATGTTATCAATGTAGACGCCGTACCTTTTTTCTCTTGTTTACTTCTCTGGCTAACTCTTCATCGGATGACGTTTCAATTTCCCCGTGATTGACTTCGTTATCAGTCGATGGACTTGCAGAAGTAGTTTCCAATCGAGTTTCCATTCTTAATCGACCACCTCTTTGTTTTTCCCTTTCTTCTAACTTACGTTTTATGTCATCCGGGCTTTCTATAAAAGTGAATTTCAGTAGTACCATGACATATTATTTTTAAATAATCCTTATTTTTATATAAATCATTAAATTTCACATAGTTTATGCATTATTATTCAAACGCATTGGAGTTTATCATTTCAAACGAACTTGATTCAAATCATTTTGAGTCAAATCGGAGCCATTCATTCATAGTTCTGTCAGTAAATTTTATTATCTACAATTAAAAAGATTTTAAAATGATTTAGAAATATAAATCTGGTCAAATGATTTGAAAACAGAAAAAGAGGTAAAATTCTTAGAGGATTATAAATGCTACGGTTATGGATAATTTTTTTATCTCAATACAGAGTTTGCTTTGAAAAAAATCAATTGGATTAAAACTCACCCCCGAGTATTAATATCCTTGCATTATAATAAGCATAATGCTCTCCGCCAGAGTGTACTCGCTTACAACCTTTATCACAGTCCCATCGAGCCCAATAAAGGTGAGTTGAGTCATAATCTTCTGCAGTTTTCGGTTTGATATGAAATTCATCATTTTTCCCATACTTAATGTGTTCTATCTTCTTGTCATAATATTTCCTATCATATGAATGAAAACGAATACGTGCGCACTTAATATTACTTACACAATTAGCAGTTGTAATACTCATTTTTGAAATCTTTGAGCATCCATATAAAAGTATAGTATTTATCACAAACTAGCTTTTAATCTTTGGTAGTTTCATTTTAGTTTGTTTACTGTCGATATAGCGACATACCAGTATTTTTTTGTCAGCTGCATTCATTGCAAACAAAATGAAATTAAGCTGTCACATAAAAAATAGTTCCAAAACCAGGTTTTTTTCAATTTGTAATTATAAAATTATTATTGGATATCCTCAGTGAATTAATAGCATAATGTTTATTTGTTCATTTTTTTCAGATATATTGAGTGTAGCTTGTATGAAAGAAATTGGTTAATAAAGAAGAATAATTACTATAATGGGGTTATTGCAATAAGACAAAATAAGAGTGTTCCTTATATTTGTTAAAAATGAAACCTTGTAAAAAATTTAAAAGCGAATACAACAAACATTTTCAAACGGGAAATCCAAGAGATATAAGTTATCAAGCCGAAAGACGTTACCTTCTTTCACTTAAACAAGAAAGTCAAGTAAAATTATATCAAATCTCATTTTCAGAGAGTTACATGTTTATAGAATTATTATTTCATGATATTCTTACATCATTAGGATCAAGATTTTCATGAGGGCGCAAGACAAGAGCAACTCTGTTTAAAAATACCAGAAGATGTATCAACCAAAACATCTATCAATGTTGATGCGACAATGCCTGTCCAGTCCAATGCAGAAGAAGAAAGTTCAAAAACAGTACAATGGGATAATGAAGAGGGACATAATTTAAACATTGAGTTATTGGGCGGCATTGAAATGGCAGACTTAACTCAAGCAAACAACAAAGAATGTGCATCCACAATAGAGATCAGTACAGTAAGTTTATTTTAAATTAAGAAGAAACATATTATTAATGATATTGACTAGCCAACGTATTTATTTGTTTGTTTGTGAATAATTTTCATGTCTTTTCTTTTTTATTTTAACAGAATAGATGTAAGGATTTACAAGCAATTTAATTTTTAATAAAAAACGTAGGTTAATAATAGTTATTTCTTAATTCATAAACTGTGATGTTATCCAAATGATTGGTGGAGAAAATATCTCCATTGGCTTGTGACTATAAGACCCAAAAGATTTTTTTCAAATAGATGTCTCTGTATTATTGATGCTCAACGGAGCATTGTTTTACTTTTGCTGATAGTATTACACTCCAACTTCAAGCATTGTTCTCACACTTATTAAATTCAATATCATTATGATTGATTGGTTTATAAAAACTTGTTCAAGTGTCTCCTGTGCGACTTAAATAATCTAGGATATTATCCATCAAATATTTAATATGAGGTGAACTTACCCTCAACAGGCAAAAAACTAATCACGTACGCACACGTCTATAATAAAGGCCAGCACAATCATTTAGGTCTTCTTGTCAAGCTTCTGCATCTTTCCAAGTATTAATTATCCAATCAGCGACTACTAGATTACTTTTTTCTAAGATCAAAAGACCGTGTATACCACTCAATGGATTTAAGCATCAAAATGTTAGTTCAGCTTATTTTTCCTGAAACACGGTAATGAGGATTTGAAAGCTGCAATAAAAAATATATCTTTATCAGCCAATACAGCTAATAGGTTAGACCGATCAACAGTGTACCTGAGTAAATACCACAATGTTTTGTAAATTTCTGGATTGATGTAGCTACTTTTCTTGTTATCTCCATCGATGTTGCTCTCCACTATCTCACGTAAATAAACACATATTCGAGGTTAAAGTCGTTTGCTTATTTGCACCGTTACGGCGTATACATATGTACATAATTTTTTAATTTCAAAAATTATAGTAGATTTTCTTACAAGGGGGGAAAATGGAACCTTCGTGCATGAGTTCCATTTTACCCCCGTGTAAGAAATAGTGTTTTCTCTATCCCTCGGGAGAAAGCACGCGTTTTCACGGCTTGTCTACGGTGGAAGAAGTTGCACTTTTACCCACTCCGCGAGTGGCGCCACTTGTTTCACCGCAAGTGAAAACATTTTCGCCTGAAGTTTGAGGCGCAGCACGAAACTGTAATCCTATATGTTGTGAAGCGATAAGAAGCTGGCGACAGCATCAAAAATACATGAACAAACATTTTTTAATAATAACTGTTTATTAATTTTCTTAAAATTATTTTTCACATTTCTTACAAGAATAAAAATTATTTGTAATGTTACCATTGAATGTACAATTTTCATATCTTACATAAGAATTTTTTAGCCAATTAGTAGTATCTGTATCAATTTGTTCGTTTTCTTTTCCAGAGTGTGTTGGATCAACTCTCAATTTTTTTGCAGGCGGTCGAGCTGAATTATTTGCAAAGATATGAAAATTGTACATTCAATGGTAACATTACAAATAATTTTTATTCTTGTAAGAAATGTGAAAAATAATTTTAAGAAAATTAATAAACAGTTATTATTAAAAAATGTTTGTTCATGTATTTTTGATGCTGTCGCCAGCTTCTTATCGCTTCACAACATATAGGATTACAGTTTCGTGCTGCGCCTCAAACTTCAGGCGAAAATGTTTTCACTCGCGGTGAAACAAGTGGCGCCACTCGCGGAGTGGGTAAAAGTGCAACTTCTTCCACCGTAGACAAGCCGTGAAAACGCGTGCTTTCGCCCGAGGGATAGAGAAAAGCTCTTTTTGCTAATTCTTGTATGATCTTTAATTTCACTGACTTTCGTGTGTTGAACATATTATACGTCATTACATACTCAATTTAATAGTTTAACATTCATAAAATATATCTTTAGGTTATTGCAATGCAATATGTATGTGTACGTACAGAAATGAAAAAAATACAAATGTTCGTCGTTCAATAAACAATTGCTTTGGAATTCATTTAAATGGCTAAAATATGAAAAAATAATGCCTCTATTATAGAAATAATATTATGGGTTCTAAATTTACAGGCTGATATTAATCAATAATACAAAATAAAGAATAAGCTCATTTTTGTATAATACTTTGCTATGTTTTAAATAGTTGAAGGTCCGGATCGAATAACGACTTCGTTTGTTAGCCCCTGAGCGTATGCAATCGGAGTTGAGCGCGGAGTGAACTTTTCTGATTAAAAAACATTAACAAGTCTTACACTTGTATAAAACTGTCAGCGAGAAAGTTGTTTATTATGATTTAAAGTACATGGTTCGTAAGTTTCAATTAATTTCTTACTGTATTTTCGGAAATATGAGAACATAATGTGCATCGGCCGAGCTGCCATTTTAATTTACACCGACTAGCGCGACTGTGTATGTCGACGCGCTATGGCTAGACGTACGCTCAGGGCCTAACACACGAAGTCGTTATTCGATCCGGACCTTCATATAATTCAAAGCATAATACGAATTATTTATAAAGTAAACGGTATTTAACATGGAGCCATTTTTTTTAATTTTAGTAATTCAAGCAAATAGTAAGTTTTTCATAGAACTTACTTATAGGTTTTAATTTTTTAAGTTTGGCTCCGTATCTAATAAGCACATACTATTATTTTTAATATTAATTATAACATTATTTTTAATATTATTAATAATCAATTCATATTTTTTTAGGTTCGACTATTAGACAACGGAAAATTCTATGAACCATGTAATATTATGGCATCAATAGTTCAAGAAATAATTAGTGCTCAATCCACAGATAAATCGAGCTCCTGCGACAGCCTTATTTATCCGAAAAATTTCGGTAATCTACTGAGCAATGAAAAACTTATAGAAAGAGTTGTAGTACCTACGGATACATCAGTTGGTGAAATACTATTGATGGTCCTTAATCATGCAGTACATAATAAGACATCTGTTTTAGAACTGACAAGTATATTACGATTAGTTAATAACATATTTAAGCATCCAATCATGTTTGAAACTAAATATATGCTAGACAAATTATTTAATCCTCAGAATAACGCTGAATTTCACGCCATGTGCCCGAACTGTAAAATATATATCGGCAAATTGACAGACTTAGAATTGTCTGTCCCGTGCGAAAGTTGCGGAGAAAAGATAGATTTATCGACACCTTCATGCGACAGCTTTTTCGTAACTATAAATCCATCCGATGCTATCGAAGATTTATTGAACCATCATATAGATTATTACAATTACGTCGTACGTGAAAGAGTCCATGAAAGAGGTCATATAAAAGACATATATGATGGAAAATGTTACAGAAACTTTGTTCAAAGATTGCCTGCATCCGAAAAGTATAACTACTTAACCGCAGTTTTCAACACGGATGGGGCAAATAAATTTGAAAGCTCTCAAAAATCTATTTGGCCCATTTACTTA